TAAGAATTTAAATATTTGCTTAATGTCAGTACATATTTTTATAAATAATATATGGAGGTCAAACCATAGGTTCCTTTTTTTTTTTCAAGTAAACGTCGTGTGAACGATTATATTTTTGTAAATACAGTACGCAGTATTTATAGAAAACATTTGTTACACATTTTTAATTATATTTTGCATTTTCTTTTTCAATCCTGTATTTTTCCATTACCAATGTATCCATGTTTCTTAATATAGACTGTAAGTGTTAAATTTACAACTATTTGAAATATTTGGAATTTTCTGATTTTTAATTTAACATTTTACAAAAAAACTGCTCTCGATTTATAAAAATGTAAGCAGTGGACCTAAAATTTGATTTTAATTAGTATCCACTTTAATTAAAATAGGTACTTATTCATTTGCTGTCACCAATAATTTAAATATACTTGTCATATTATTGAATTAAAAAACTGACTGGCGAAAAGTAAAGAAACAAATAAAAAATCGAATATTGAAATAAAATGAAAGTCCCCAGTAACTTTCTTTTAATATTTCCCCAAGCAACCATCTAGGATCTAGGGATCTAGGATCCTTTGCGCTTGGCTTTTTCTTTCATTATTCCTGATATTTTGCTTCTTTGCAATTTTTTTAATTTACGTCCGTTTTCCTCTTTACGCCTGCTTTCTTATTTCTTCAAAAATCTCTTTGTTTCGCGAGGAAGGTGCCACATGCAAACTCGCCCTGTTTCTCTTAGCAAAAAAGAGATAGAGAGAGAAGAATTTCCAAATTTTTTTTTAGTGATTTTTGAAAGGCTGAATCCATAACGAAATCAATAATGACGGTTCAGTTGAATGAATTATGGGATGGGCAGGTGTATCCATTAATACCAGAACTCAGTTGGTAATCATCATCGACTGCCGAAAGGTACATCACCGAAATCCTTGAACCACACGTCCTGTCCGTGCGTACAAGCATGGGGAATCGTTTCATTCTCATGCAGGATAATGCTCGTCTTCATACCGCAAAACGTTAGAGAAATTTTCTTCACGCCAATAACGTGGTAACTTTCAACCACCCACCTATGAGTCCAGACTTGAACCCTATTGGGCATGTTTAGGACATGTTCGGGCGTCGATGACGACGAGACTATCCGGAATATCAAAATTACCATCAATTGATCCAGGCTCTTTTACAGAGATCGCGGTGCATTAATATGCGAGACCGGTTAGAATCGGTAATCGGGAACAGAGCCGACAATTGAATTAAATTAGTGAAAATTTAGAATTTTTTTTTTATTTTTTTAGAATAATGAAAGTTTTTTGATGAAGAAAATATGGACTATTGCTAAAAAACATTTTAACTTTAAAAAAAATGAATAAAAAGCGAAAAATTACTTATTACATTGATTTTTAGCAAAAACGTCAAATTTAAACATTCCGGGCACTAAGAGAAACAAATCTCAGCCTTTTGAAATTATCACGGTTTCTGTAGGACACTTTGAGGTTGGAAAGTTACAGTCAATATTCTTAGTTTATTCAACATTTGCAAAGTTATGCCAAGTTATTCAAATATCCCTATTTATGTAATGTTTTATCTTTCTTCTAACCAACATTTTCACTTCGAAATTTTTTTATATCTAAAATAAAAAATTACGACTTGTAGAGAATACTTTGCAGTTTTCAAAACCCTGTTTGGATTTTCTGTACGACCATTATTTCCTGAGTAATTAATTGCCAAATCAAAAATGATTTTTTTGCTTTGGTCGACGATAACTCGTGCAGGGCTCCGGAACCGCTCAAATTGAAGAGAAATTATCTAAAAGAGCTTTATGGTGCAATTACCAAAAAAAAAAAATTAAATCCATAGGCCTTTTAAAAGAAAAGCAAAAATTTGCATTTTTTTGTTGATTTTCTTATGATTACTCAAAAACTGCTGACGCTAAACAATTTTAAACTCCAGATTCGAAAACTAGACACCTGAAACCTTAATTTCGTTTTTTTATTCTCTCTACCATTTCCCTACAAGTTACAGCTCTTTGAAAATTACCCAAAACTTTGGGATTTTGCCTAGTGTATAAAAGAAACATCTGCGTTTAATTAAAATATCTGCACACAAACAAATACAACAGTTTCACGTATTTTTAAAGACAAAGGCAAAAAAGCAAATTTTCAACTATCCAAAAAATTCTATTCCAAATCAAATACTTCCAAATCAAATTTTGTTTAGTACTTTAGTATTAATAGGCTATTGATTATAGGATTTTAAAAGGAACCACGACGTTCAAGATATTTTATTACATGAATCGTTCAAATGGTCATTATAGATCAAAAAACCGCGAATTGCTATTTAATTAGAGGGTGGAAATTGGAGATAGGGATGAAAATGCACTCTCTTCAGTTTTTTAATTGTAGCTCGAAAACGAAGCAAAATTTCGGTATAGTTCATAGGAAAAATTTTGTAAAGAATTGAATTTCCCATCGAAATGGCTTATTTACAAAATTTAAAAGAAAAATTTTAAGCAAAAAATCGTTGCTTTTTAAAATTGTTTATTAACGACTTTTTATATTTAAAAAACTGCAAAAGTGCATTTTCACCCCTATCTTCAATTTCAACGCTCTAATTTAATAGCACACCGCGGTTTTTTAATTTTTAATGACCCTTCGAACAAGTCATGTGATGAAAATCTTTGAACGTCTTATTTCCTTCGTTTTCTGTAAAAAATGAGAATTAAAACTTATAGGTAAGGGTTAACGCGACGAAAATTGGCTAAGTTTGAACGGCCATATATCAGTCAATTTTCATCCAAAAATACTTTACAACCTCTTGTTTTGAAAGAAATTTTATCTACTTTTTTATGACGCAATGCCTATACCTATCTTTACTCAAAAAAAAACTAGAAAAAGTAAAAAAAAATAAAAAAATTGAATTTTTTGCTTTATTTCAAATTGTTTATTAACGATTTTTTGCATAAAATTTTCCTTTTAATTTTTTTAAATAAGCCAATTCTCTAAATAATTTTTCCTATGAACTATACCGAAATTTTTCTTCGTTTTCGAGATACAATTAAAAAACTGAAAGGGATACACTTTCACCCCTATCTCCAATTTCCACCCTCTAATTTAATAGCACTCTGCGGTTTTTTCATCCTTTGAACGATTCATGCAATAAAATTGCTTGAACATCATAGTTCCTTTTAACCCTGTTTTTTGGATATAATCAATAGCCTATAAGTCACTTTAGAAAAATCACTAGATACCGACCGAATGTGATTTTTTTGGCCGAAGCCGAACTTCGGTTTATGGGTCACCTTCGGCCGAGGCCGATGCCGAAGCCGAAGATATTTTTATTACTTGAACATTTTAATTAATAACAAAAATATGATAACATAAAAATATGTCAAAAATAAATGCATAATGTTTTGGAAACATAATATACAGGGTGATTCATTAACAATGGGAAAGTCGAAAGCTGAAGATACTACACGTGAAATGGTGACCATTGCCTTATCTGAAAGTTAATAGTTTCGGAAATACAGGGTGTTGAATGTTAAAATTTTAAATCGTTTTTTTTGCGATTATTCTGAAAATATGTAGGTTAGGAAAATATACTTTTTTAGGCGACGAATAAGATGCGTGTTGTAATTTCAGCATTGCTAATAGAAGGCGCCACTTACGACCAATTTTACCGAAAATTTAGTTAATAACTTTTTACCCTGTACATTTAACATGAAACTTGATTCAAAACCTGAAAGAGCTATCATTTTTCCATTAATTATGTTTCTCTTTTTTCATTTCGGTATCTCGATCCGTTTTCGAGAAAAATCGATTTAACGAACACTATGTTTTGTTAATATGAGAAATTAAAAGCGAAACAAACCAACTGTTTCTTTGTGTTATTACAACAATTAACAATAAAACAAATAAAATACGTAATTATGATTTAAAGTAATTGTTCGAAGAATCCACCGTTGACACTGATACACACGTTTTCTGAGAGATCTTCGAGTTTGAATCAACATATTGGGATTGCGTCTGACTTCGTTGGCAGCGATTTGTATTCTTTGCCACAACTCTTCACACGAGCCAATATATTCTTTGTAAACTATATCTTCCATTCGAGACCAAATATAGAAATCAAGAGGATTGAAGTCCGGACTTCTGGATGGCCAAGCAAAAATGATTACATGGCCAATCCAGCGACTTGGAAAAACTGCATCTAAATATGCACGCACTGGCCAAGAAAAATGCGGTGGAGCTCCGTCGTGCATGAACCACATGTCGCTTCTTAAATAAAGTGGAACTTCTTCAAGCCGTGGAAGCATTTTTACTTGGCCACCCAGAAGGCCGGACTTCAATCCTCTTAATTTTTCTATTTGGAAGAATCTATTGGTTCGTGTGGCAAAGAATACAAATCGCTGCCAACGAAGTCAAACGCAATCCCAATAAGTTGTTTCAAACTCGAAGATCTCTCAGAAAACGTTGTGTAAAGTGTGTAAATGTCAACGGTGGATTCTTCGAACGCTGACTTTAAATCATTATTACGAATCTCATTTGTTTTATAGTTAATTGTTGTAATAACACGAAGAAACACTTGGTTTGTTTCGCTTTTAATTTCTCGTATTATCAAAACATAGTGTTCGTTAAATCGATTTTTCTCTAAAACGGATCGAGATACCGAAATGAATACTAATAAAAAAAATAACGAACTTTTGGCGTTGCGATAAAAAAAATCCGATAAATCGAATATTTCAGCCACTCAGTACAGCGGCATTTTTAAAATCGATCCACCCAGCTGAGGGGGGTAGAACCGGAACATGAGTCCCCCCCAATCAATAGCAATAGTGAATTATTAAAGTGCCGGTCATGTGACGTGATCACATGACCGATTGTTTGTATGGAATTGAGCGTCAGCGTAAAGTTTTGATTACTCTATCTCTTCGGCTACAAAGAGCCTCGCTTCACGCTGACACTGCTAGTCCATCGATTCCCCTGTGACCATGAGGGACGTTCTGCCAACAGGTCTCAACTTCAAGAAGTCCAACATCAGGATATGGATCCACCAGAGGAACCTGACCAACCTGCAGCAGGTCGTGTGGGAGGGACACGGGTCCAAGCTGTTGGTGGAGCACAGCAACAATCCCAAAATCAAGAAGTTCTTGGAGGCTGTGCCCCACATTATGGTGAGTTTTTGAAAAATTTTAGAGTTACAGATATTGCGCACTATCGACTACGAAGGAACCGATGGATGTAGGGAGTTCAAGTTGAAAAAATTTAAGGCAATGTTTATTTTATGCACAGTGTATTCTATTTTCCACGTCATGCTAAGGTGTCTCAGTTATTATTCAAGATGGAAGGTTTCCACAAATGTTGGTCACTTTTTTGAAAATCGTCAGTTCTAACAGTTTTCCATGCGTTTTTTAGTTTTGTAGTTAAAGGGGAAAAATATAATTTGATGCTAATGGAGGTCTCTACCAGTTTCCGAGATCAAAGTTATATTCTTTAAATGGAAATCATAGTTGGCTATGGCCTAAAACGAGGATGGTTTTCGCTTTTTAAAAATATATAGTTTACTTACCCCAGAAAATAAAATGTGTCTGTTTACCCCACTGACGGATTATTATGAATTTGTTTTTCTCCATAGCCAGCTGCATACAACAATGATTATTTTTAGTAGTCCATTTGTTTTTAGTCATAACCAACTTTTCCTTCTATTTTTTCTTTTAGAAAACAAAGAAATGGCTATACATAACTTTTTTTACTTTTTAAGATAATCATGACAAGTTACATATTTTTGGGAAACAAAGAACATCCTCTTTTTAAATGAAGCCAATGGCCATGGCCAACTATGGTTTCCATAGAACAACTTAAGCTTTGAGCTGTAAGTCCAAAACTGTTAGTTTATTAAAAAGTAGGTACGCTATTCTCTCGGCAAAAAAATTAAATGATAATGGTCGTATCAAGAAAAAAATAAGCATCTTGAAGCTTGAAGATTCTAGTTTTGAAACCTTGAGATGAAATTTCGCGTTAAATGCTCATCAAATATCGAAAAATAAAATCTAAATTTTGAAATTTTTTTGCCGAGTTTATTCTACTCAAAAAAATTTATGAGATAAAATGTAACAACTGCAGCTGCTACTCAATATTAAAACTTTGATTATTTGGCTAAAGCCCCAAAACTACAAAAATTTTATCGACCTGACTGAACATCCCTCAATGTCAATGAAATCCGCTACGTTTTATCTTGACTAATAACTGAAATACCGTAGCATAACATCAAAAATAGAATGCACTGTACAGTTTGGGTATTTTAAAGTTTCAACTTTGGTAATTTTTACTTAGAAAACGTAAAAATGTAAGATGATGTCTATTTTCAAAAATAAATATCTTTGAAATTGCATTTATTTGAAAAGCTATAAAACATTTGTCGTATCCAACATCAAAATTTTCGATATGGATAAAAGTCTAATTGTAAGATCATTATGCAACTCTTAAAAATCTGTAAGGTAGTTGAAAATATACTTATTCAAAACGTTATACAGCATATGTCATAGCATTACAATTTTGTATTAATTTTCCAAATGATCTATACAACTAATATTATTTTATAGCTAAGTGTGCTGCGATATAAAATAATTTATTGATATTATTATTATTCGCCATTAGGTCTAGATATTACTAAATCAATTTTATGTATTTCCAGACGCAAAATCAATTTACTTACAAATAAACAGGCTTGTAAGCAATTTGGGTCATATACACGGTGTTAGAAGTTTGAGTGCCTTAATTTTAACAGACGATAGAATACATTAAAATAAACAAAAAAACCTCATATGATGTGGGTCCTCAACTCAACCATTTCCGAGAAAAAAATTATCTAAATCTCCAACTTGATGACAACAGGTCGATTAATTAAGGAATATTAACAAAACTGTGTGCATAGAATACCATAAAATACAATGTTCATCACTTTTTTGAACTTCTTTATGAACTAAAAAATCATTAGCGTTGTAATTTTTAAATTCGATAATATTCATATCTAGCAATGTGACAACAGCGCGGCGGTTTATTAACACGAGGTACTATGGTGTCCAGCAACCACTAATACGCAATTCAGTTGGTATCTGGATTCGACCGTGTCGGAGTGTTTTTTGCGTACCACTATTTCCTTTTCTTGAGGTGTTTCCCAGCGATTGCGCGAAAATTGGATTCGAGGGTGTTGTGCGTGCATCGAAAATGGTGATCGCCATTTTGAACATATGTTGTAGTTTGCTTTGTACTTGCGTTTTAAAATTACTGACTTTTGCTAATCTAATTTTGGTAATTAAATACATTTAAAAAAATGTATTGTGATCTTACAATAAATGTTTGTTAGCTATATTTTGATGAAAGCGTAAGTTACACTAAGTGATCCTCTTTTATGTAGTATTATCTTTACTGTTAAAACACTTCTTTTGTAATTGAATAGCCTTGAAAATGAAAATGATTAGTCGAAACTCATCAAATTTTTTAATAAAAACAGTAAATGACGCTCCATAATGATATAACCACTAATATTTTATTCATCATTTTCTCGTCACAGAAAAAATTATACAGAACGATTTAAACCCTTTTGCCTGTTTTTCAAAACATTATAACTTCTAATGAACAAATTGAATCCAAAAACTTAATTCCGCGAAATATAGGAACGCCTCAATGTTTTTGCAGGGCCTGATTAAGGAAATCCATACAGATGTTCAGAACGGTGACCTTGAAAGCTTGAAAAACCATGTGAGTCCGCCAATACCTCCAATGGTTCTTTCAGGAAAAGATGCTAATGGCCTAACAGCTTTACACAAGGTAAGAATTTACAATGTCTATGTATCTGAAATAACACTTAGTAATGAGTAAACGCTTTCAGCTACAAAATAGAAACGTTTGTGAATCTTTAATGAACATTTAAAATCTTTTTTGCAGTAAAAATTGATAAGAAATCAAAATTTTGCTTCGATTCCAGTCTAAATTTAGCCAACGTATTTTCAAGAACTGGCAAATCATTGGTTAATTATTATTCGATTTAACTGCAATCAAATTGTAATCCTGACAGTTCATTAACTATTTTTAGTTTAATCGATTGATGATTTCCTTCCAAATTTTAATCAAAACGAAACTAATCACATACGGAGAATTTTTAACAGAATGTGAAATTGCTATCTTGCTAAACAAAGGCAAGTAAATTAAGTATAATATATAACAAGAAAAAAGCTAAGACAACCAAAGAATGTACAATAATGCCTAAATTTGATAAAGCACTTATAGATTCTTTTATGTTCTTTCCACAACACTATTTTTCGTTTATCCCTTCCCAAATATCTGTTTGTCCGTCAATCATTTCAGGATTTATCTAGGTAACTTTGATCTGTTGCCGCAAATCATATTTACCTTAATTTATTCTTTTATCGCACAGTCGATAAACAAGATTATGTGACAGTATTGTTAACACAATTTCTGATATAAAATCGTTCTTTATTACTCAATTATGTGTTGATTAATAATAAAATACCAATACAAACAACATTTACAACGATATAGGCCGTGGGTCTGGGTAAGGAAGACATAGTTCAATATATAGTGCAAGAGTACCAAAATTGCATTAGCGCCACCGACAATGAGGGAAGAACCCCTTTACACTATGCGGCACTTCTAAAAGATGATGGAAAAATGACAAATTTTCTTATCGAACACGGTGCTGATGAATCTGCATTGGACAATGTAAGTGTAAAAACACACCTTATTTATAACCTTTAATTGTTTAATCTAATTCACTGTAGAAACAAAAAACAGCAGCCTACTACAAGACCAGAAACTCAGAGCTCGATGCTAAATTATTAAATGTCGTTCCGGAATGTCCTAGATCTGCCAAGGAGTCGTTTGCAGCAAACTTCGACTGGAGCATGTTAACATCTTCAATACCACTGAATGGAGTTAAAGAAGTAGTCCACAAAGCGGAAAAATTGATCGAAAATTCAACGGAAAAAGAGACAGAAGAAGTAAAAGAGAACGGAAAAGAGGAAGACAAACCGGAGGAACAGAGTGAAGAAAAGGAAGAAAACAATAACAATGGTCAGTATTGCCTAGATATTTCTTAAGAAACATTTAATTTGGGAAATTTACTTTAGATAACCATGGTACCGATGAAAATTCAAATACGAATGAAGGAGAACAGCAAGAAAGGGAAGAAGTAAAAGAAGAAAAGAGAGTAGAGAAGGAAGAACAAATAAGTCCAAATGATTTGCCAGAAGAAAATGATAAGGAAGCACCAAATAATAACGACACAAATGACAATGATGAAGTAGTTGAAGAAAAAGTAACTGAACAAATCAACACTGAAGTAGAAGCTGTCAAGGAACCAACTAAAGACGAAGATGAAAATGAGGAAGTGCACGAAAAAAATATCACTTCGAAAGAAGAAGAAATTAATAACAACGACGATAAGCATCCCGAAAGCAACGGTGATACACAAGAAAACAGTAAACAAGATGACGACGTCAAGAATATCAGTGACTTAACAGCGACTGAAGAGCCAGTTCAAGAGGATGAAAAGCCAGACAATGAGAAATCTGAAGAGTCAGAACTGCCAAAATCAAGACCGTCAAGCGTAATAAACACAAACATGCGCCCCCACAGTCAAGTAGGAGGCATCTCCAGACCACCGAGTCAGCTACAACAAAGCAGACCGAGCAGCAAAATAAATTCCACCACGCGACCGAATAGTAGAGCTGTTGAAAACGAGCAGAACCAACAGGAACACCACAAAACTCTAGAGCCTGTGGTAGACGGTGAAGGTATCATCGAAGGGGTGGTTAACGGGGAAGATGAAGTTGAAACGTTAAATAATGAGGGGCAGAATCAGAGAAACGGCTCTTCGTTAGGAAGCGAGGAAGAGGTGAAGGCCTTAGTAGAAGCTGGGAATATGGAGCAACTCGCTGCTCTAGTTTTGAATGGAGATGGAGAGAAATTGGTTGGTCAGAGTAGCGACAATCCTGAGCTGCAGTCTTTTTTGGAGAATGTTCCTGTCTACATGGTAAATACATATCTTTAAGTATTTTAGATAAGAATATCAGAATAACATGAAAACAGAGATATACTAATTTTGGTTATAAGTATAAGTCCTAGTTATAGCAATAGTTATTTATTACATATCTAGAACATATAATAATATACAGTCTGTAGAATATTTGTTAAAATAGATTTCCTAGAAAAGAACCGAAGCAACACGCCCTCGTAACTGCAAATCACAGTACGTATTGCAAGCTACTACTATGAACGCCACGCCGCCAATGTGTTTCTACCTCGGGTGTCGAATGCGGTTAATTCCAAGACACTGACGCAGGGGTCTTCTTGGAATTCTATCTCAACAAATATCGTACGGACTGTACCTGAATTTATGATTCATTATAAATGACGTTTGCTATATCTTGCAGTTTGCAATTAGTTAGTTTTTTCTATAACCATCTTCTTCTAGAATGGAAGTGACGTTAATAGGCCCATTCAGTAAAATTTTTTTATTGCATATTTCAAAAGTTTACCCTTTAATTAGTTAGTATGCCAAAAATCAATTTTTTGTTTCAACGAGAAATGTGTGAAATAAATTAATGAAAACAGAGCGCGGAAAAACGTTGAGCAACCATTGCCTGACGTCATAATAGAGCACTCCGCTCACGCTCGCTCTCTTCCCATTCTGTGTTAATACATACGATATGTGGATCGATTCGCAGTTTCGTTAATTATTGTTTTTATGTCTAAATGGGTCGAAACCGAGGATTGTACAAATATTGTATAGTTCCAGGCTGCAAAAGTACCTCAGGATCGACTCCGAATAAAATATTTATTTCATTACCGAAAAATGAAAAGTTTGTGTGATGTTATCCACGGTTTCCCCAGCCACGGTATGCAACTCAAAACCACCTTCGTTTTTCTTTGGATGCACGTCTAGGGGGTTGTAAAATATTATTATTTGAACATTTAGAGCACAATTCTCAACTTTATGCCGGAAATAAATTCTGCCCCATCTAAATGTTCGTGTTCACAAAAAATTCGAAATACGACGGCGACAGGGACCTATAAGCAGTTAAGAACCACTCTAGTTTTTCTTTGGTTTTCCATCTAGAGGGTTTTAAATATTATTATTTGAACATTTAGAGCAGAATTATAAAATTTATGCTGGAAAAAATTTCTGCCCCATCTAAACGTACCCGTTCACAAAAATTTCGAAATACGTCGGCGAGAGGGACCTATAAGCAACTCAGAACCACCCTCGTTTTTCTTTGGTTGCCCGTCTAAGAGGTTATAAATATTATTATTTAAACATTTAGAGCAGAATTTTCAAATTTATGTCGAAAAAATAAATTCTACCCCATCTAAACGTTCCCGTCCACAAAAATTTCGAAATACGTTGCGAGAGGCACCTATAAGTAATTTATTTAAATAATAATATAGACGGGCAATCAAAGAAAAACGAGGGTGGTTCTGAGTTGCTCGCACATACACGTCGTCGCATACATCCACAAGTACCGAGTCTAGTACGTTGGGTACATTTGTACACAAAATGGAAGGCAAAATTACGTCATTGAGAAAAATCCGAAAATGTATTTAGATATTCCAAGACATTCTATGTTTATAATAAATATGTTGTGTGAAAAATGCATTTCAACAAGACTTGATGTATATCTCTTATACACTTTCTATTTATACACTTAAAAATATAGATATATAATATAGGTAAAAGTATAGCAAATATCTACACATCAGTTTAGACGAGGCAGCCGAAAACAGACTGTCGTCTCTTTCTTAGAAGCCGTATAAAATGAGATTTATCTCTCCGACTGCTGGCGAGTGGCCGGTATCGTGACGTCATTACCTGTTCTCTCGCAGTGTTGACCTTTTTAAAGGTCTTACAAATTCAGAATTAAATATATCACTTATTAATCCTATTGACCTAATTTTTTTAAGATATATTTAGGTGGTTAAATACTATCAGAAAATGAAAGAAAAAGTTTAAAATTATATATCACTGAATGGGCCTATTTGATGTTAATAACTTAAAGAATAGTTAAATTAATAATTATCCATTATTAGTAGGCATTATTTTTATCAATTTCTCTTATTTCTTCTGACTAGATATTATTATAAATGTTACATATTCCTGTGTAGTCTAAAATCAACCGAATACATGAAGCTGCTCGAAATGGTAGTCTGAGAGATTTACAAGCCGCCTTAGATCGTCGCAAATTTGCTATAGCAAAGGATACAGTATCTCCAAAAGGTAAGTATGTCATTCAAAAAAGGGTATAGTTGTTACGATCTCAATTGGAACCGCATAAAAACATTTAACTCATAAATTCTACGGAATCCATAGACGTCCAGAAAAATTTAGCTGCGCCGCATTACATCTGGTAAAATCGTCAATTTTCTTTAATTTTGTATTTTTCCGTTTCCTCTTTGTACCGTGATCAATCCTTCTTTAATTATGCGATAAATTCGCCTTTTTTGGATATCTTAGTTAATTCGTTAATCCGTTTCCTAACTTTTTTATCACATTGTTCACTATTTTCAATTTTCAAACATTCATATATATATTTAATATAATACGTTGACTTTTTACGTATAAATCTTTGTTTTTAAACTCTCAGTTTGTTTCGATACTTTCGACAAAAACCGGTTCCACTATTTGGGGATTTTCCCGAGTTATTTCGTTATCCTCCGCTTCAAAGAGTCTCCAGAGAGCCACGCTAAATTACTAGATAATTACATATAACATTTATTTTAATAACTATTACCCTTTACTGGTTACGATATGAACGAATAATAATATCAACTAATAAATAATAATACAGGTTCCAATTGACATCGTAGCAACTATACCATACCGTATCTACACGAAAAGTAGTTGAAATTGTCACTTTATTACATATTTATTGATTTCAAAATTGTTTTGCCAAAAATAAACTTCGGAAGAGCACAGTCGAATTATACAGTAGCGAATTGCGAAATGTCAGATTAAATCAAATACTGATCCTAGTACAAATATTAGTTTTTGTCGTATCTCGTTCTGTCCCTTTGTCTTTCTTGCGGTAGTACCCGCTATCAAAGCAGCCTTGAAAATTGAGTTACTAGGATTCTCCTAACAACGTACTGTACTCCGGGAAATCCTTTTTTTCAACTAAAGCTTAAAACTAGGAACCTGGTGTTTCGAGAGTAGAACACGCTCTATTCTAATTGCCTGTAACTTGCTTGGCATCCTCTCGATGACGGTTTTCACTGAGGCTTTAGACTGAGCCTCTTTGCACTGGTTTTGTTGGTTTTTATTGGTACTTTCTTGTCTCTGTCTTTATATCGGTCGCAGCGCAAAGCTGTAAAGACGCCTGAACAATTTGGACGCTGGATAATAGATCTAGGTCTGATCCTGAGGTCGCATCAATTTATAATAACTTAGTAATGAATATAACAATTTTTTTGGTTTAATTTTTATACAAGATATGTTTCGGTTACATGCAATAGGACAGATACCTACAATGTAGTCAACGTAAAAGCGGAGAGAGAGACCATTGTACTGACCAGGAACGGTGCCTATTTAATTGACTGCAGCAAATAAGAGTTGATGTTCGATCACACATTCATTGACAACGTTAATTTTCGAGAATGATTTTTGCCGTTTTCTTTCCTTTAACCTCACTGGATTTTGGTCTCCATCTATCAATTTTCTTGGAAAATTTTGGTGTGCTGGAACACAATCGTGCAAGAACCACATATTTTGCCTTATTTCCAATGGAACCTCATCAAGAAAGTCGTTTAAATTGTTTTCTAAAAAACTAAGATAATATTTTCCTTCTAAAGGATATGAGGATTTTCATCATTCCAGTTATGCATATTAAGTGTATTAAAAATACGTCTTTCTGTAAAAAAATTCGGAGATTTCTTTTGTTGTCTTAACTCATCGTCGAATACGGTTGAATTTATGGTTTTATATCCGTTGGTCGTGGCTGTTTGACAAGAAAATTCGAAACTTGCGAGTTTTTCGATGAATCGCGACGGTCGCTCTGCCAACAGCATCGGGCTCTCTCAACATCGTCTGCTTTGACTTGATCGGTTTGAAGCGGTGACGACTGGATTCAAAACATCGGTGAAAATTTCGATGCTTGACTAGAGATGTCTGAATGATTTTGGTGACAGGTCCGATGTCCTCTGACAAATACTACTCTGCTACTTTTTCAAACTGTACAGGCAATTTCTGCTAATCAGACTAATATTCGCATTTCGTAATTCACGGCTGCCTATATGAAGTCTGCTTAAAAAAGCGTTCTAACCAGATATTTAAAAATATACAGGGTGTCCCATAAGAAAAATACAACTGTAAACTTTAGAATTAATGATAAATAAAACATGTAAAGGTATTTTTTTCATTTTTTTGTCAATAAATTTCGAGATAATAGAGCAACTTTACTGAAGCATAAAATTGATAACAATCCCTGCATGGCGTGAATTGGCTTCTAAGACGCGGGCGTATATTTTTCAGGTGCCTCGCCGCTACACGTGGCAGTCATATTCGGAAACACGAGCATCGTGAGGTATTTAGCCGGAAGGTTCCCGGAAACCGTGCAAGTTATTGATGACGACGGCAGAACGCCACTCCATTACGCCGCCGTTCTATCAGATAACGGACATTACTATAACCTGCTTGTGCATTTGGGCGCCGACACGAGGACCCAGGATAAGGTATGCCGTCTAGGATTAAGGACGAAGCACAACCCTCTATCCGTGAAAATTTATCGTATTTTTTATTTGCGGTTTTCAAAAAACAGTTTCAGCTTAAATCTATTCAGAATGTCTGACAAAAGTCGGTGTCGTTTCAATTTCCGAGAAAAGCCGCATGTTTTGAACAATATTTTGCGACCACATTTTTCTTTAAAATTCTGATAAATTACTCTGGCACATAAAAAAGTAACTTTTGATTTGACCCAATAGACTTCATGAATTTTCTCGCGCTGAATCTGAATCTGAATTCCGTTTACCTCAAACATCCCCAAAATTTTGAGCAATTGACAAAAAATTGTAAAAAATCGCTGAAAATTGCGTAAATGAGCGCAAAAAAAATCGAAAAAATTTGTTCTGAACTTGATCAAGTGGGTTTCTTATACAGGCTGATTCATTAACAATGGGAAAATCGGAAGCTGAAGATACTTCACGTGAAATGGTAACCATTGGCGCAAATATGCCTTATCCGAAAGTTGATAGTTTCGGAAATACAGGGTGTTGAGAGTTAAAATTCGTTTTTTTTGCGATTATTCTGAAAATATGTAGGTTAGGAACTTGAACTTGTGAAACTACATTTTTTTAAGTGACGAATAAGATGCGTATTGTAATTTCAGCGTTGCCCATAGAGGGTGCTACTTACGACCAATTTTACCGAAAATTTAGTTAATAACTTTTTACCCTGTATATCTAACATCGACCTTGATTCAAAACCTGAAAGAGCAATCATTTTTCCATTAATTAGGTACTCTTGTTTCATTTCGGTATCTCAATCCGTTTTCGAGGAAAATGGATTTAACGAACACTATATTTTGATATTACGAGTAATTAAAAGCGAAACAAACTAAATGTTTCTTCATGTTATTACAACAATTAACAATAAAACAAATGAAATACATAATAATGATTTAAAGTAATTGTTCGAAGAATCCACCGTTGACATTGATACACTTTACACAACATTTCCTGAGAGAATTTCGAGTTTGAAGCAACATATTGGAATTGCGTCTGACTTCGTTGGCAGCGACTTGTATTCTTTACCATAACTCTTCACGCGAACCAATAGATTCTTTGTAAACCATATCTTTCATTCGAGACCAAATAGAAAAATCAAGAGGATTGAAATCCGGACTTCTGGGTGGGCCAGCAAAAATGCTTACATGGCCAATCCAGCGATTTGGAAAAACTGCATCTAAATATGCACGCACTAGCCGAGAAAAATGCGGTGGAGCTCCGTCGTGCATAAACCACGTGTCTCTTCTTAAATAAAGTAGAACTTCTTCAAGCCGTGGAAGCATTTTTTGCTTGGTTTCGGTAAAATTGGTCGTAAGTGGCACCCTCTAGGAGCAACGCTGAAATTGTAACACGCATCTTATTCGTCGCTTAAAAAAATATAGTTTCACAAATTTTCATGTTACATACCTACATATTTTCAGAATAATCGCAAAAAACCGTTTTAAAATTTTAACTTTCAACACCCTGTATTTCTGAAACTATCAACTTCCGGATAAGGCATGTTTGCGCCAATGGTTACCATTTAACGTGTAGTATCTTCAGCTTTCGATTTTCCCATTGTTAATGAATCAGCCGTACCTATATTTTGATCTGTTGAATCCAAATCTGTAGTCTTTTAAGTTGCACCCACCCCCCCACAGATTTTGCAAAACTCGTAAAATAATAGCGAAAAATCACCAAAAATAGTGAAAAATCGCCAAAAATCTGCGCAAAAAAATTCAAAACATTTTTTTCTGACCTTGATCAAGTGTGTTATGTATTTTGATACGTTGAATCCCCCACAAATTTTGAAAAAAAAAACAAAAAATAGCTGAAAATAGCAAAAAATCATATTAATGAGAGTGAGAAAATTTAGAGAGGTTTTCTAGATTAGATCATAAATTTTGTTGAGTCGAATTTGAGTCTAAAGTATGTTGAGCTTGATTACCCAAAAATTTTGCAAATATCGCAAAAAATTAAAATAACGATTCCCAAAACATGTTGAATAAATGTCATGGATATGAATTACTTCCAAATAAATTCTACTGACTGGAACCAGGCTTCCTTTGATGTTGCTCTTACACTTTTCTTCTCTTGTAGCGAACTCTTTCTCCAACACTATCCCCAAATTCTCATAAGTCAGCGTATCAAAATACATAAGGTCAGAAAAAATTTTTTCGAATTTTTTTGCGCTCACTAACGTGATTTTCGGCGATTTTTCATATTTTTTGCCAATTACTTAAAATTTTGGGGATGTTTAAGCTAAACGGACATCAAATTCGGATTTAGCCGTCAAAATACATAAAGCCTATTGGCTTAACTCAAAGATACATAACACTATTTTTGTGTGCCGGAGTTATTATTGAATCAGTATAGACGCATTTTATTAAAAAAAATTGCAATAAATCATTCTATCGACTTTTCTCTCTCAAAAAATATCTATTTGCCTAACATATTCCCTGCAAATTTGTAAACAGGCAAATATTACAAAATTTAAACATTAAAAAATGTATTTTTACAGTTCGGCAACACGCCGGAGTATTACAGGAAAAACCAGGCAGACTTCTCGCACAGGTCCCTGCTGAAGGACTTTGGCGCAGAAGAACAAGTCGCAGACGAAATTTTGACAGACAAAGGTAATCCGTAATTTATTTATAAAGGTTCCTACACGTTAGTGGCTTTGTTCGTGTTGCCCAGAATGAGGATTGTACTATACACTTGAATTTTTTATTGCGTGAGATACGTTACTTTGAACAATAATTATTTTTTCATTTCCAAATACGGAAAAATACTAGTTTAAACTTGATAGAAACTTTAATCAATTACATAAATTAATTAATTATTCATTATAGTAGTAAAAGATATATACACGGCATATTTTTTATATTTTTTCGTTATGGATGAGATACACCTGGTTTTATCGAAACGCTATAAACTTTTTTTTTTTTGTAGAATTAAAGTTATATCTATGTAGTAGACACATAATCAATTCCAGCAACTGTTCGTGAAAATAAAAAAAAATCAATATTTTCTTTTTATTTCAACTAGAAAATGTACCTAAATTATAATCCATTTCTAGAAAAATGGAACGCCCTCCCGATGTCAGATAGTGTGGCAATCCATTTACATAAAAATAAACATTGTACTTTTATATAAATATTTAAAATGTTTCCCAATTTCGCACATATTTGTTTAGGTTTAATGAAAGTTCTAATATTTCTGAACAAAGTTTTCCGATATATATTCCCTTCAAAAATATTTAAAATGATGTGAAAACACTGATTTCTTCAAGTCTGTTACTGATTTTTTCATCGTTAAAAGATGTTTATATTTATTATTAACATAAAATATACCTCTATAAAACCATAAATCTAATTTCGAATTTTTCCCAATTTCCCCAAAAATCAGAAACATATCGACTTTTTCAGTGTATTTTAATTAAATAAAACTTACTTGATCTGATATCTAGTGTTTAATTTTTCTATACATATCGTCTTATATATGTATTTTGAAAGGGAAAAGGTATATACAGGGTGTCGCGCTTAAATATGATACAAGCCTGTAACTTTTTTATTTCTTGTATCACATTTAAGCGCGACACCCTGTATATATAGATTTTTTTAACAAATGTAGGTGCGAATGATGCAAAAAATATTTATGAAATTAAGAAAAAAAATAAGAAAAATATGACGTCGTAACTTTTAGGGCAGTAAATTTATTGATATGGAAATTTAAGTCAAAGAATTGTAGGTATCCCATAAAGATTTTGTATTTGCTATTTCCGATTTAATGTAAAGGTTCTAGTTCTCGGTCAACCGTTATGAATGAAATAAATAATTTATAAAAACGCAATTTCATAAAAAAGAAATTTTTTTAGAATTAATCTATTTAGACAAATAATCGATTCAAACAACTGTTTCTTCTTTCTATATTTCGTTTTTATTTTAACTAGAAATCTAAATAATTTATTATATTTCTAGAATGGAACGCCACCATTTATCTGAAAATACAAATGGTGTTTTCATGTCTATAAATATTTAATATTTGAATGAACAATGTCAGCAAAAATGAATGTATTATTGGGGCATACAAATGGTCAAAAATTTAACAAGCATTAGGCAACTATACAAAACAAACTTTTTAATATTGAGAAAAAAAATGGGAATATTTAGTTATTAATAATTTAGATATTTATTAATGACATTATTAGAACTACCTAGTTTTTAAAATATGGTATTTTTAGTAAATAGTCAACGCGATTTATTTTTATAAAATATTTGGTTTAATAACGTACATTTTCTGTAAAAACTTAGAATACAAAAAAAAATATTTCATTCGAAAGAAAAATTGAAGGGAAAAATGATCCACTCTAGAATCTGTGTCATAAATTTGTATATTGATAGTCGAGAATTTTTCGAAGAAAAAATTCCGTCACATTTTTGGTTTAAAAAATATAAAAAAGACTCAAAAAACTAAAAATGTATTATTTTTGTATTTTTTAATAAAACCATCTCAAAACGAACAAAATTAAAAAAAAAGTTTACATATCTTTAGTTTTTGCCCAGTCATTGGGCAAATTTTCAAATACTTGTATTTGAAAATTTTTTTACCTAAAAGATTCAAATGCTCATAACTTCTTCAGGGGTTGAAATAAAAATTTGAAAAAATTCATGAGCTACTATAAATAGGTACTAAATAATACCAAAAATCAGGAAAATGACGATTAGTGATTTAGCATGGAATGCTCTTATTGTATGTCGATTTCAGTAAAATGAAATTTGCATAGTCAATTTCATGATTAATTCTTTATAAAAATATTTTAACTTGTGTATAAAAAAAACTAAATAACAAATCGGTGTTTCACAATATAAGTAATTTGATTATTCCCAATTATTTAAAAAAAATTATTTTCACTAAACAAATAATGAAAAAATAAACGTTCATTGTGTATATGTAACCTATTTCATGCATTTTTTTGGTTTTATATTTAATATAAGGATCGTATAAATGTTTGTTTTGATTTTTGCACTTTATATGGTTAGTAATTATACGCTTCTTTGGATAAAAATGATGGAGTACTTGAACACCTGCAGATCCATCAAACTCTGGATATGCCGCTGCAAAACTGACTTATTATTTTATTGTAAACTGAAAAGCATTTTCACATTCATTAAATTGGAATTCCCTTTATTACATTTCGCATGTGATCGTTAATATCTATAAATGATTGGCGTTTGAATTTCATTGTAGCTAAAGATTATGTGTACGAGTATTATTTAGGTAGATATTCCGTAACACTGGCTGTTGTAAAGGACCCCGCACTGACTTTATGAAAATGTGGGCTCTGTCAAATAGGCTGAAATTGTGGCAAGTTGTTGCTTTTATGTTAGGTACTGACCAAAAGTGTCCACAGTACTTGGATCCGAAAATCAATTCTTTCCTACTTATAACGGTCTGAGTCAGTTCTGTTGTGATGACTACAAAGTAGTATCGGTCGGATATTGTAATAAAAACAGTAACTTTTGTGAAATGTTTATAGAAAAAATTAATCGGATGGCTTCGAAAATTTGCTAATTAACATTTTTGACGTGTGCCAAATACCAAACTTCAACAGAGCTGACCTGACTCAGACCGCTATAAGTAGGAAATAATTGATTTTCGGACCCAAGTACCGAGTATATTTTTGGTCAGTAATACAAAACCAACAACTTACCATGACTTCGGCCAATTTGACCGAGGCCACATTTTCATAAAACAAGTGCGGAGTCCTTTGCTTCGACTATAAAGTTGAAATCTATACAGGATTTGGCGCTTTTAGTTTGATTATCCAGCCAATAAACCTGATCAATAATTAAGCTTAGTGAGAATTTCTAAATACGACATTAAAGATTTTTTTGCGAAGTTTCTAGCCCCTCCAGTTTTTTCAACTTAGTGTTCAAATTTGCGTGTTGTAAGTACTGTTTGGCATCCTATAGTAGATGAGAGCAAAGCACATGTGTTACACGTTATTTAGCACGAAATTAAAACTTTAGATCCAAAAAAATTGTACAATATTTAATTATGTACAAGTGGTTCCAGAAGAACATACTGTATATTCTTGGTATAATAGAGTATCAGAAAATAAGTAATGAACTATCGGTTTGTCAGAGGGCGTTTGATTTAATCTTTCTTAAGAGTCTTGTAATCTAATATGTATGTAGGTACGTTTACGAAGGGGAAGATTTATTATTAATTAAAAATAGACCTTGATTGCTAAAACCTTACCTTACCTTACCTTACCTTACCTTACCAAAAATTGGATTGACAGAAATAATATTTTGTAGCCAACAGTTACTATTTAGCCCAAAGCAAAGACCACGCCGAGTGACTGTGTTTTGTTCGGTATTTTTGTTTGGAATCATGTTAACATTGTTTTTTTTTTAAATCTTAAACGTCATATCAGAATCGCAAAAACTCTAATTTAAAAAACTGTCTAGCTCTGAAATGTTATTTCCTTGACTCATGGTTCATAGGAATAATTTCATTTTGTTTTTTAATAGTCAATTTATTTACTAGAAATTATGGTAAGTTTCTCTGAAACACCCTGTCTAATGTACAGATAAAAATACACTTACTATGTACGCAATATCGAATTTACTATGCTTTTATACGTGGCAGATACAATACTAACTCTTCAATAATGAGTTGTATCAAAAAAAAAGTTGCAGATAAAAGTTGTTCGATACAAATAAACCAATATTCTTGAACTTAACTTTGACAAATTTCAAGACTAAACCAAGGTCACCTTGACCTTGAAAGTAATAAAGGGACGCCCTATTTTTTAACAGCAGTCCACAAAACTCCAAATTTTCCATTCAATTTGGGATCAGAATTTTTGGTACGCTCTTGAGAATCATTTGAAAATCAAATTCATTTTTCTCTAAATAACCTGACAAAGTCGAATCGTGAAGGGAAATATTTCAAGCAAAATTTTAGTTTGACCTTCAAATACCAGCAAGGACATCGGTTACTGGCATAAAAAATTAAGTAATCCATTTGTTGCAAACTGTCATGAAGGTCAAACCCAAGGTCACCATCGAATTTGTCATTCAAATTCCTACAAATTATGCTTGAAACATTTTCCTCCACAATTCGATCTTGTCGAGTTTTCAGAGAAAAATGAATTTGACCGGTATTTGGTTCTCTGTCGAGTGGTCCTTTTAATATTTTTAAGTTGACCTTGGTCAAAGTCAAAAACAAGGTCACCAACATATTGGTTTCTTGATAACTTTTATTTGAAACTTTTTTTGAACAGCAATCGTTGAGGTTCAGATCCTCTTGGGACAGCCTAACCAATAATAGCTTAAATTTAATTAAAACTTCGAAATAACTCCATCATTTTTGCACAAACTTGCCCAGATAGTTGCTAGACCATTTCTGTATATTACCACACAGTGCCCGCGGACACATTTTCTGCACGCAAAGACCTGGACGACGAGGACATGTTGGCAGTGCTGGAGCGCTGCTACAACGTCCTGCACGGTCGCAGGAATTCCAACGTTTCGACCTCCTCTGCCACCACCACGTCCTCTACTTTAGGATCCGTGCCCATTCTAAACAAACATATAAAAAGGTACGTCTTCGACAGCGTCAAGTATCGGTTGACCAAGCTAGATCACAACCTCTACGACGTAATATGGCCCAGCGTGAAGAAGCTGCCTACGGATTTGAGTTTTCGTATAGCTTTGGAGCAGGATTTCCCCCTTGGGATTGTCGCGCCGGATTTCTACGTTTACAAAGTTTTCAGGGAATTCTTAGAGCCTATTATCAAGGAATATAACGCTGTAGACTTGCACCGTAAGCTGCCGCTGCACCCTGATAGTAAATTCGTGCAAAATCCGAGGGATGACGACATTATTGATGTGGAAATGGACTTAGATCCGCACGTGAAGTGGATTATTTCAGGTATTTTGGTGAAGACGGTTGTGTTATGAGGAAAAAGAGATTACAGTTCTTAATATAGAAAAAAATGGAGTCAGTGTTCTTTATAAAAACAAAAGATTTTAAACGTTTGATGGTTGAACTATTTCTACTGAGTTATAATCAGTTTATGTTGTGATACCTGGTTAGATTCAAGGGCGACAAAGACCTACCAGGCCCAGGTTTTTAGGGAGGGGCTACGGAGGCTATAGCCCCTGGCCTCACGAGATCGGAGGGGGGGGGGGGTGTGCTCGACTAGATCTGGCAAAATAAAACCAAAAAGTGTTTAGGTCTAGCTTTTTTTAGAATCTTAGAATCAAATCAAGAAGTGTTTAGGTTTTGAAATTTTATGTGGGCAAATCGTGACTTTTTTTTTGGAATCAAACCAAAAAGAACGACGACCAAAAAACAACAAAAAAGGGATGGCATAGACTCTTCTGTCTTTCTTCCCTGTAAAACAATTGACACTTTATTTGATTGCAATGATATAAAACTAAAAACCGAATTTAAGTGATGATTGTATTAAAATGAAAATACTTAATATTTTGCCAAACTTATATAAATCCAAGACTTATATACAAATAAAAATGAAGCTGTTTGTACAAACAGTGCATATTCCCGAAAAAAGAAAAAGAATTTTTCATAGGTGAAATTTAAATTTATTATTTTTTCTTTCAAAGAAAATTCAGTGGTTTAGTTACTTTTTTTCACATAAAACTGACATACCTAAAACCCAAGTGATAGAACTAAAATTCTAATAATTAAAAGACCTCCAGTCAGTGGCGGCCCTTGACTTCTTTACCGGGGAGGACGGAAGAATTTAGGTACAAAGTATTGAAAAAAATTTAATATAATTGGATAATTTTATTTTGAGCACTATTGAAGAAATATAGGATAAATGTGCTCAACATTATTTTTTATAGTGAAAGTCCATTCTTCTGCTTTTGTCCGAAATAAACATTTCAATAATTTTTTAAAGTTTGGTATTTCTCGCACCATTAATTTTTCAATAGATATGCAAGTGTTGTTAGCCGGGCTTTACAATCTAATTTAAACTTTTACAATCTTTCAAAACACACAAGAAACAATACGTATGTAACAAAATTTTACACCATTCATAAACAAATTACGTTTAATAAGAAAAGAAAGAGGTGAGTAGCTATTATTCCGTTACGGGCGAACTAAACAGATCCCAAACTGCATATAAATATGCGCTACTCCAACTGCATCATTCACTGCTACCCGACAGTAACCATAACCACCGCTGTAAACACTTTACAGATTTAGAGGCGAGCTATGAGGATCCCACGTATTCACTGTTTTTCAAATGAACTTTGCAAGTCGAGTTAAATTAACTGGACATTACAAATTTATGTGTTTCGTAAGGCTATTCTATTTAATTATGTAGATAACAGTATAAACTAAGTTTTAAATTAAATCTTTTTTACTACAAAAATTTTTAGCCCCTCCCCCCCTGAACCAGCCGCCACTCTCTCTCCATTTATTGTGTGCATTAAATTTCATATACCTATATAAATCCGTTTATAGATTCCAGGGATATAACAAAATATGTTCAATGACTTTTTTATTTTAACCCCCTGTATCTCAAAAATTAAACCCTAAGTTTATATAATTATTTTTCGATTAGATTCAGAATTTAAAGTTAAATTAGCCTGTATTTTTAAATGGCGACGATTTTTGCACATTTAAAATAGCAAACAATCCGTTTACTCAAGTTCACTCTTTACATATGCCTCATTAAAATCAAAAAAAGGTTTTTATTCATTGTTAAAAAAGTTTTGTATTATTTAAATTAATTGCAATAATCCGCCGACTTTTTACTTTCCGAGGGACTCTGGTTCGAAAGATGTACGTCGACCAGAGAAATAATTATCCTATAGCACCCTTGATGCTTTCAGCGTTTAATATCCTACTAGTCCGTTATTTTATTCCAAATTTTTTTGATATAACATCCGTTTAACATTTAATGTGCATAATTTACGTTATAAAATATTAATTGTAATTTATATTACTAAATTGGAGATTATTTCTCATTTAATTGTTTCTCAAAATACAATAACTATTGCAAAATAAGAGATTTGTTTACATAGTCAATATTTATCTTTTTTATAAAATTTATTTTTAAAATTGCATATTTAAAAAACAAAATATATACATATTCTGACCGATTTAATAATAAACTAATTTATAAAATAGAGAAAGAATAAATATAACCGTATATTTTCTCATAACACAACTAATGAATAAACCGCGAATTTTAGGAACACTGGACGCTACAAGGAACCTAGCGGACTTCGAACTGCCAAAGTCACTAAATCATGGCGAACTGGAACTGGTAGAAAGAATTACAACTTCCGTCTTACTCAGCGAAGAAGTGGCCAAAGCTTTATATCCCCTTACCTCCTACGAAGAAATAGAAGAAAAGGGAAGCGGAACTTACTACACAATGAACGAGGTGCTTGAAGAACCGTCAGAAGCGAGGATTCTTTTAGCCAGTAATGGCTTGCTGATTCCTCTCTGGAATATCCCTGATTCCGACCGCCTTCACGGAAGGTTCTGGCCGTATGGGAGAGGAGTTTTTGTTAATAATAGCGCGAATTTAGCGGTTTGGATTAACGTTTTGGATCACATAAGGATAGTAACTTGTACTTCTCATATGCATCCTGGAAACATAGGCCAAGTATACTCTAGAATAGCAAGACTGATGCTAGTTTTGGACAAACATTTAAACTTTCGTTTCGATAAGAAATTGGGGTACCTCACGGCTAGACCATCCGCCCTTGGTAGTACCCTACAATTTAGCCTGACTCTAAGATTTCCCTATCTGATCAAAGAACCTGATAATTTGAGACATTTATGTGCTGTGAGAGGTCTAACATATAACAGAAGTACAAGTACAACGGACATAGTCAGAATCGGCAATCAACAATGCTTGGGCATAACAGAGCTGCAATGCTTTGAAGACTTTTGCACTGCTGTAGCTAATATGTTGCAACTAGAAAAAGATTTAGCTATGTCAAACTCACTACACATCGCTGCCATGTTTCTAAACATGTTCAGAAAGAAGAAGATGGAAGGTGATATACACTAGACTACTTTTCATAACAATATAATTTTAGTATATAGTAAGTATTTGTTGGTATAGTCACAATAGAAGTGTGTAGTACAAAATAAATGTAAGCCGTTATGTATATAGTGCCAAATTTCACACTGTTTTTACCTTTTTGTATATATCGGCGCTTTAAGGATGGACTTATATAGGTCAGTAATAAAACCATTGATTATAAAACAGCAATCACTTCTTGTACTGTCTAACATTTCCAACAAACTGTTCCTTGTTCGTGTGGTATTGTACCTGAGGAGTCTACACCAAAATGCACCTACAAAATGAGTGTTCTAGGAAAAGTGTGTTCTCTTGTAACTGTTCTTTTGACTACTGTATGTCCGCTTCAATGTCTATCAGAACGAAAGTTGTCACAGCAGTACTACCTTCACTTTTTCCGAAAATCTTCACAAGGATCTCTACCTCTTGTTCGTAAACTGTCTCTTTGGTTTCAGATAATGTTAACAATATGGACAATGGACAGGTTGACATGCCTTTTTTTGCCACTGAAGAGGGTCGTTACTTAGCATCTTGTAAGCACCAAAATTTCAGTATCTAATGTTATAAAATAACAAAAAAAATTTGCGGGAACTATTTTAATGCCAATTCATTGATTATATTTAGCTCTAGGTGACCCTTTGATAAAGGGACTAACTGAGGTTGCTAACAAACGTCCTGAAGACCCCATAGCCTACTTGGCACAGTATCTCTACAATTTTGCTAACACCAGAAACAGTGTAAAATCAAGAGGGAGGACTCAGGTAGGCTGCATTTATAATATCGCTAATAAAAACTCTTCATCGTATTGTTGTTAGATAAAAATAGATTGATACACATCAATTGAAAATTCCAGTTTAAAGTTGGTTCAAAAACTTTAGATCAAATGCTTTTATCTGATTGTTTAACTTACTCTTTTTGTCTATTTTGGAATCGGATAATTTTTGTTTTGTTACTATTACGATATAGCTTTTACCACATAGACATTTTATATAATATAATTTTACACTGAAGTTTTAACGTTTCATTGGATTTTTTTATGTAAGGGATGATATGTGGTATGCGTCCGATACAAGCCGAATATTGATTGATATGAGTTTTTCTAGCTCATTAGCGTATATCAAAAATAAACGGAGCTAATTGAACTTTGAGATAATCCCAGTATAATTTGATTTAATCCTACTGTCAATATTGTTGTTTGAACATAGAAGACCAACAAATTGTTTCCGATTTTTACAAAGATATAACCTTTCACACAGCTTTAGAAGGTTTTTCAAAATTTATAATTTTTTTTGTGTTGGTATTTTGTTATCCATCCTTCATATGATTTTTATGGCATTTATTTTATATTTGATCATTTATACGAGTTTATTTCAGGAAAATCAGCAGATTGTGACGGGTTCTCCAGCACCCGTCAACGACAACAATGCCATACCCGCTAGCATTGACGTCGTTACTGTGGAACCCGACGATAGTAATTCTGATGAAGAGTCTGCGTTCAATAACACCAGCAGGGTAAACTTTTTTTAATAAATCGCAGTAAAAATGTCATTATTACACCACGCCTCTTTTCAGGATGAACACGGACAGAGCATGCTACACTTTGCAGCAGCCCGAGCTCATGGACGTAATGCGCTCTTTCAGCTACTTTTAGAAACTGAAATAAATGTAGCCTTTAGAGACGAGCTGTACAGAACTGCCAGGGACATCACCATCCAGGCTAATATTCCTGAAAACACTGAAGAAATTGACAGATACGTTCTGCACATAGCCACAAAAGGTGAAAATTATTCTACTAGAAATAAGCTGCAAAGAAATAAATTCAAATTCAGACCACTCGAATAGAATTACTAAAGACGTTTTCATTTTTAGGTGACACCGACAAGCTGGTGGAACTATTATTGGATGGATATGACCACATCACCGACATTGTAGATGACGAAGAGGTACCCATAATAGAAGCCGTTTCTAAAGCTAACCAATCAGATACTGTCTCTTTCCTGCAGTCTATACTAGCTTTTGAGGTAAGACAAAAAATGTGATGAGTTTTATCAGCTTCATTTCCATCTTTCTTATAGGAAAAACGTGAACGAGTCCATCATGCCATTAGACAAGGTTCTATAAACGACGTTACAGCGTTGCTGGCAGATGAAAATGACACTGGAAGCGGAAAACTCTTGGCAATAGGGAAGAATAACTACGGAAGGTGTACTTTACATATCGCTGTGCTTTGCCAGCAAGAGGAAATAGTTGACTATTTAGCAAATACTTTCCCTGAAACTCTAAAACTTGGAGACAACGTAAGTTAAGAAAATCGTGGTTTAATTTTATGAATTTATTTCAATATGACAAATATAACATGAATACACACATTGAGAAATATTTATAAATGCAAAAAGGGTCAGCCTTAGTAAAAATTACTTTTACTGGTTGTGAAATATGTTTGTCTATTACAATATGACAGTGTACTGCAGTACTTCTACTTCTTATACAGTACCATCTGCAATTATTGGCACAATATTCTTAAGGGATAAAAGTTGTCATTGTTAAAGTTCTGCATCAAAATAATATCTAATATGTTCGTACTTGCTAGTCTAGAACCAAATTACAAACAAACACATAACAAAAATGTTATTACTGGTTCAGTAGACTAACCTACCTCTCAATGTTGCCGGGCTCTAAAAAATCACTTATATTTTGCAGTTAGAAAGGACAGCACTACACTATTCCATGGGTATAGAGAAGATGGAGATCATCAGCAGGGTACTTATTAAAGCGGGCGCTCGAAGGGTAACCAAGGACCTTAAGGGCAGACAGCCCACTTATTACTTTTTAAACAAATCGGAAATACTGAGACTTCAAGAAGAGGAGGAGACATTTTAAGAGAAAGGCTGAGTATTCTAAGGATCAAATATAATGTAGTTAATTGTTAGTCATTGTCCAGGATGGGAAGAAGGTATTGGTTTTTTGGGGAGTGTTAAGTATAGATAGATATCCGTCTGTTACACTTATATTTTTGTATATGTAAGTATTTATTGTGTCACTTACTTTTCTGACCATTTTGCTACATCTAAAATAAATGTGTTTCTGAGGCAAGTTTAATTTATGTTTTCTATTTTTAAAATTAGATTTAAATTTACATCAAACATACTTAATTTGACGGTATTAATGCTAATAGCAACTACTTGAAATGTTTTGCACAAATATCACAGCAGTCTATGACTATAATCTACTAGTGTGAAGCTATTAAAATCTAAAAATTGGACAAATTTAATTTAATATGTGACAAAGTGCTTTAAAAAGTGAAAAAAAATATTGCCACTCAGAAATGTTGGGCTTGGGGATATAATTACAACACAAAGAAGAGCTTACTAAAAGCTTTTAAAATTAATAGAAAAAACTAAAATATATTGACGTTTTTTCATACTCTACAGCATTTTGAAAATTAAATGAGTCAGTATTTTTATAGACTATTTATGATTAGATATATTATTGAATTTAAAGTACTTCAAATTAAAATATATTTGTAAAAAAAGGGTGAATTTCATTGTAATAGATTATTTTTTGCTAAATTATTATCCTCAGCTTATAGACTACAAGCCCATCAGAAATTTTCAAAGGGTCGTTTGACCCAGCATGAATTACTTATAAATCAATACTACCACATATAACAATAACTTTAGAAAGTATGCCGTCAATGCTTGTTGGTACAGGTGATCACACAGGTAAGCTAAACCTGTGGATTTCGGTAAAACATTTTTGTACGGCATTTCTAAAGTATATAGGTTATACAAAAAAAATGGACCTCGACCTAATGCCGTACAAAAATAGCAATACCGGATGCCAGGAAAATTTTTAATTTTCCAAAAATTTTGGCACGGGTTTTGGTGATTTATTACAGTGTGGCATTTATTTGAATTCGGATCGATACACAGATAATTTTTTTTTTATACTTGTTGATACAGCGGTTAGAAATACAACCCTCTATTTGAAAGAAAAATGGGGGGTGATTTGAACCAACATCAAATTCGCTAACTTTAATTCTATTTTATAAAATAATGACATATTTGGCTATGCCGTACATTTTTCATGAAACGTGCTTACTATAGGAAAATTAATATTCCTCTGAAAAGTAGGATCACACGGTGAAACATTTTTGTATGGCATTAATATATTTTGTTAATACTGACAACAATAATTAACAAAAACAAAATGCGGTACAAAAAAAATAGTTCTAAATGGCTTGAAATATATTTTTGCAAATAAGTATTACTTGCAAGAATTGATTTTATTTTTACTACTATTTTCTCCTTAATACAAATTATTTACTACTGTACGGCCTTTCTATAAGACACAATATCATATAGAAATATTTTTCAGTAATGCCGTACATATTTGTCGATATAGGAGTTAGAAACGCCGGAATCTTTAAGTAATATGTCGTTAAAAAACCATAGGACGATATAAAAATTATTAATTTTATAAATTTGAAAATCTTATATATCACAAGTACATAAGTAAAATTTTTTCAAAATCCTAAAATTATTGAAAAATCAATAAAAAAATCTGCATTCGAATATTTTTTAAAAAATTTGGAATTATTTTTATTTTAAAATTAAAATTACAGCTTCGAGATTCTAGCTGGCCATCGAAACATCTTTCTCCATCTCTTTTTTCGTTTCGGCATGTAAATTTTTATGTGGTTTTATTCATGTTTATAACTGACAATCTTAAAGTTGTTTTTGCAACAAATACACTTTATTATTTTTGCTAATTTTAAACATATATTGTATGCTAATAGCTTCATCACAATAAATTGTTCAAACAATTGTAACAGAAGTTGTAAATATGCAAAACATATATTATATCACTGTTTTAAATATATTTATATAGGAATTCTCATCAATATTGAATTAAAATTAATTGTTTATTATTATATTCATTTAAAAATAATACTTTCTTGCATGTCATTAAATTTCTTAACATATTTTCTCGAATCTCTATACACAATTTTCTTTTAACTTAAACTTAATACCATCATAATTTCTACGGTATAAATCTCTTTCTCTTGAAATTAGGATAAAATTCATTTTGGACTTATACAGTTTCGGAGAATTGTTCCCACAAATGTATACGGCATTGCAATTTTCATTCGTTATATTATATTTCTTATGAAAATTTGTAAATACCGTATAGTTATTAATGACTTAAAAATGTAATAAAAATTTAATGAAAAATATTATCAGCTATGTAAAATTCACTAGTTAAAAATGTACGGTATTGTTTTTTTTATTTTCTTAATGAAAAGTCAATTGTAGCCATAATATATTGAATATAACATTTTTAGTTTATAATGAGGAATTTTTAAAATACTGTAAATATTCACAATATATTTATTTGTTTTTTAATTCTAATTGTTAATTTGTACCATTAATTATAACCGGCCATGATTTAGTACGATAATTTTTGGTTATATTTTATTAAAAAACTGGTTGCCGTACAGGAATTAATGATCTTATCGAGAAAAAAAAATAAAACTCAATTCCAAAATACAAGTAATTGTTTATAAACTTTTGCATTAACCATAATTTTTAGATGACATAGTTGCTAAGAATTATTGGGAGAATTAAATAATTAAATAATGTGGAATCGATGCCGTACATTTTTCAGTGACTTGAAACAATGGGGGCTAAAATAGAGGGTTGCACCCTACATTTCTAACCCCTGTATCAGCAGATACGTACCGGCGTCACTAAACGAGTTAACTACGTATCAATCCATAACTTGCAGTATAAATGCTATACTGTAGTCACCAAAAACCAGGACAAAATTTTCAGAAAATCAAAAATTTTTCTTGCTTCTGGTATTGCTATTTTTGTACGGCATTAGGTCTAGGTTCATTTTTTTGTATAACTTATATACTTTAGAAATGCCGTACAAAAATGTTTTGCCGAAAACCACTCCCCTTGGTGGACACCTGTGTACTCACCTGCACCAAGAAGAATTAACGGCATAGTTTCTAAAGTCATTGTTATATGTGGTAGTATTGACTTATAAGTAATTCATCCTGGGTCAAATAACCCCTTGAAAATTTCCGATGGACTTGTAGTCTATTAGTAATTTCGCTACTATTATGAACATATGAATTAATTTTATTTATAATGTATCTACAAATGTGTGCATTTCTTATTTTTTCAAGCAGTTATTTAAATATACACTATAACATTTTTTGAATCAACAAAATGGAGAAGAAATTAATTGTCATTTATCTTATTAGATTTAAATTTGTGCATCTTCGATTCAAAGTGTGTTGTAGTGAAGTATTTCTAAATGAACACTAGCCATATAAAATTTTCTGAAAAACACTTCTATAGTTTTTTATTAATATTTTTTTAGTACATTAGATGTATTAAGTTAAGCAATAAGTTTACTGTTAATTATAAAATTTATTAATAATGAAATAAATCGATTTTTATGTGTGTTAAAGGTGTTTTTCTTTTAACTTTGCTCATTTTCCTGTTCATAATTGAGAAATATTTCAACATTTTAAATATTTTCTCAAAGTCGGCTATACTAACAAGTAGTTACCAACTTTACCTTTTTGAAAATGTCACATTTGTTTTATATTTTTTTGACAGGTCTTGCAAAACAGAAATTATAACAATTTTTTTTTAAATATATACCTATTAATGATCGACAATAAAGGCCCTTATGCAACAAAATTCCCTCAAAACCAGAGCTGGTCCATAGACTATTTCACCACCGATGATTGGAAATCGAAGAGAATCATCAGAAAATTCATCAACTCTGCTATCTACGTTGAAAAACCCATGCTTGGTATGCCACCCTTAAGGAAGAAAAGTCCGATCTTTTTAAATAGTGGTAGTGATGGGGAATATACCTGTCGAACATGTAGTAGTGATGCAAACGAGACAACGAGAATGGTTAGAGGTTCTAGCATTTCGTTGAATTCTTTCACACCTCAACCTGAGGAAATTGTAAACACCAAGAAATATTCCCCGAAATCCTCCGGATCTTGTAGTACAAACTCGAGCAGCGACGCAGAAAGTCAAATCACCGTAAAATCTATCAAACCCGATGTACACTCCATGGGTAGTGAAATAAAACTTTCATTGACCCCTTTATCTACAGACAGGAATAGTCATATTAACGTTAAAGAGAAGCAAGCAGTCATAAAGCAATGGTTGGAGAAAAAGGATGAAGAACGGAAAAAAAGGAAGATGGAAGAAGCAAGAATCAAGGAAGCCAAAGAAAAAGAGAGACAACTACTATTGGAAAAAGAGAGGGAGAACTTCAAAAAGTGGCTAACAGAGAAAAAGCAAGCTGAAGAAAGAAACAGGAAGCTTAAGGAACTGGAGGAAGAGAAGAAAAAATTGAAAGAAGTAGAGAAAGAAAAGAGGAGAGCAGAGAATGAGCTATGTTTCAATAAATGGTTGAGAAGGAAAAAAAAGATGGACTTAGGTATGATATGGAAATACATATCCAATTAATTCTTGACACAAATACAACATTATTATTGATTATAGGATTTTAAAAGAAACTATGACGTTTAAGATATTTTATTACATGAATCGTTCAAATGGTTAGATGCAAAAACCGCGGAGTGCTATTAAATTAGAGGGTGGAAATTGGAGATAGGGGTGAAAATGCAACCCTTTCAGTTTTTTAATTGTAGCTCGAAAAGGAAGCAAAATTTCGCTATAGTTCATAGGAAAAATTATTTAGATAATTGAATTTCCCATCAGACTTATTTAAAATATTTTAAAGGAAAATTTTATGCAAAAAATCGTTAATAAACAATTTGAAAAAAGTAAAAAATTCGATTTTTTAATTTTTTTTTTACTTTTTTGCTTCTAGTTCTTTTTTGAGTAAAGATAGGTACAGGCATTGCTTCATAAAAAAAAGATCGTCGCGTTTACCCTTATACGTTTTAATTTTTTTGCAAAAAAGGAAGGATTAATACAAGGATTGTTTATTCACGACTTGTTCGAAGGGTCATTAAAAATGAAAAAACTGTGGGGTGCTATTAAATTAGACGGTTGAAATTGAAGATAGATGTGAAAATCAACTTTTGCAGTTTTTTAAATATAGCACAAAAATGAAGCAAAATTTCGTTTTAGTTCATAGGAAAAATTTTGTAGAAAATTGAATTTCCCATCGAAATGGCTTATTGAAAAATTTAAAAGAAAAATTTATGCAAAAATTCGTTAATAAACAATTTAAAGAAAAAGCAAAAAAGATTTTTTGATTTTTTTTTCTCTTATTTGGTTCTAATTTAATTTAAAAAAAGTTTGGTTATAACTCAGTCAATATTAGTCCAAAAACTTTTGAAAATGCATCATTTTGAAGGGAATCTCATCTAGTTTTTTTGTACAGCAATTTTCTTTACCTACTTCTAAAAAATTAGTCAAAAAAGTAAAAAAAATCTTATTTTTTACTTTTTTAAATTGTTTATTAACAATTTTTTGCATACAATTTTTCATTTAATTTTTTAAATAAGCCATTTCGATGGGAAATTCAATTCTCTAAATAATTTTTCCTATGAACTATAGCAAAATTTTGCTTCGTTTTCAAGCAGTTAAGAAACTGAAAGGGGTGTATTTTCACCGTTATCTCCAATTTCCACCCTCTAATTTAAAAGCACCCCACGGTTTATTAATTTTTAATGGCCCTTCGAACAAGTCATGTGATGAAAATTCTTGAACGAATCCTTCCTTTTTTGCAAAAAATGAGAATTAAAATGTATAAAGGTAAACGCGACGAAAATCGAATAATTCGCTAAGTTTGAGCGGTCATATATCAGTCAATTCTCATCCAAAAATACTGTACAACCTCTTTCTTTGAAGGAAATTTTCTCTAATTTTTTTTTAAGAAGCAATGCCTATACCTATCTTTTCTCAAAAAGAAACTAGAGGCAAAAAAGTGAAAAAGAATAAAAAAATCGATTTTTTTTTAAATTGTTTATTAACGATTTTTTGCATAAAATTTTCCTTTAAAATTTTTTATATAAGCCATTTCGATGAGAAATTAAATTCTCTAAATAATTTTTCCTATGAACTATTGCGAAATTTTGCTTCGTTTTCGAGCTACAATTACAAACTGAAAGGGGTGCATTTTCACCCCTATCTCTAATTTTCACCTTCTAATTAGTAGCACTCCCTGGTTTTTTCATCTAAACTGTCCCTTTGAACGATTCATGCAATATAATTGCTTGAACATCGTAGTTCCTTTTAACCCTGTTTTTTGGATATAATCACTATCCTATTAATGTAGTAAACGAATGTTTCACGAAACAAAAAAATTGTAAAAGTTACATTTTTATAGAGAGAAAAATTAAAGATAAATTGGCACTAATTCAGTTATATGAACAGAAGCAGAAACGTATTGAAGATAATGAGAAAGCTTTTGAAGAATGGTTGAGAAATTCTAAAAATAAACCAAAGCCTATTCCACTAAATCAAGGATTGCAAAGTAAGAAATTATATATTTTCTAAACGCTTTCAATATACCAAAAAAAAAACAAATAAATAAAAATGTAGGGTACTACTAAATAATTCATGAAATTTTTAAAAGATCGTAGCACTTTAATGTTGAAATAACATATTTGCTGTCTTCTAACATTTCTCTACTGAAACATTTTTTAGGTTTGTGCTCTTCGACATCAGTGACATATATAAATCCTGTACCTTGGAATCCGAATATAGAATTGCCCCAAAAACCAGTATCTCATTAATTATATCAAATACATAATATAACTGCGTTTAAAAAAATAAATACTTCAGACACTAGCAATGTTGGTATCATTAAAAAAAAAAGTAATTTTTTGTAATCAATATATAAAAATATTTTGAAAACATTTGTAATTAGCATATGCACTTCAAGAACGAATATGGTCGCATTTTTTCTATTAATAAATCTCCACCTACTTTATTATTTGACATCCTGCAAACAATTTTCAGAATGATTAAATAGTGAATATACTGAAAAATGCTTGAAAATAAAATATTTTAAGAAACGCTATGTATATACTTTAAAAATTTTCGATCAGGAAAAAGTGGCGACTTATTTTCAACTTAACTCTATTCAGTCAAACTCCAAAATCTTGTGTAAAAAAAAAGGAAGAAAGGAAGGTGTTGTGTCGTGTGACGTCAATGCATTTTCTAGTGTATTATATAACATTCACAGTTGTTAAATAAATGGATGAGAGGATTGTTAAACTATTTATTACGAAAATACTTTATAAAACTTATAAGACAGTCACACGTGCGAGATTCCAATAGAAAATAAAATACTTAAATTTTATGTCATTTATTCATCGACTCTAATCAATACAGGGATTCTGCAGCGTTAGATGTTCTAGGCTTTTTAATTTTATCGAGATTTTTCAGGACGATATCGTGAAGCGCACAGTACCTGTTTCGAATTTCGGACATCACCAGCCAGAGGCTTAGGTATTCCTTTTCGTCGAGTTCTTGCACGGCTTGTCTATAATCGTCTATGTGGGGATATTTCGCCACTTTAGAAATCAATTTTCCTGGAAAAAAAGCATTGACACTGAAACGCTAGAGTCTTCTAATCACTTGCTTACCTCTTGATATAAAATATCGAGATATTTGGTCAAAAAATGCTGCAGCCTCAGATTCTACAGACTGTACTTCGGCTAGAGTATCTTCTTGAATTGACACACCAAAATTATTACCATCTTCAATTTTAGGTATCATAAAAGAAATCCACATCTTCATCTACAAGGAAATATTAGATATCAAACAAAATGGTAATAAACTTGCAAATGTAAAGTAATTCTTACCAAATTGGAATCTTCTACAAGCTTCCGGATGTGTGGTTTTACACTTTCCACCAAATCGACGAGTTGTTTATTCGTTGGAACAGAACCCGAAGGTAAAATCATAACCTTAGTGCCATCTTGAGAAGATATGCTATTATCAAATTTAGTTTTTTTGGCGGGAGGCAAATCGGTGTGACTGTTTAATACAATAGGGTCCGGAACTGGAATATTCAAATCTTGATGCACATCAGAAAATTTTCGGTTTTTAAATTGAGAGGTCTCTAAAATACTGTTTAACTTTACTATAGTTTCAGGAAAACCTTTTAGGACAAGTTGCTCCGCCTTCTGTTTTAGTTCCTCCTTATATTCTTGAACCTGCAACAAAGGTTTGTACACATTTTTAAAGGAAATTGAGATACGAGACTTGGTTCAAATTTAAGTCATTCCTGATTGCAAAAGAATAACTGGTCGAATCACTCATCATACTTAATGATTTGGAAAATACTTTTCATCATTTTAAACAAATAAGACGACACTTCCTGTCACTTTACAGAAAAAACAACATGCTTTAAAGTTTAAAATCGCTAAGGGCAATATACATAATATAATACAAGTATAGGATGTAATAACTTACCTTTGCTGAATCTGCCATATTATTTACACCAACAGAAGTCTACACTAATTTAAAATGGTATAAAAAACCTTTTTTCTTGACAAATTTCGTTATAACTTAACCTAAAATGTTCCCCAATGTCGAACAATGCGATGCAAAGGTCGGAATTTAGGTGCGTATGCTTTAGTATACTAGTTAGGGATGTTCTGTGTAGTATACTTTACTGTCAGAAATATGTTGTAGAATAGTTTCAACTGCTGTTAATTATTGAAGATCGAATTAAAATATAGTCCTAGCACATGTTAAATACATATTCGGGTCTTTTTTTATATATATATTTTTATCAATAATTGGAAGACCTAGCGCTAATTTCACGATAAACTTCACAAGCACATCTAATACGTACAAGGTTATAATTATTATAATAAAAACTGTAATCAATGACTTATTTTCATATTATGAATTTTCCTTTCTTCTTTATTATATAAATTTTCGTAACAGATTGTGAAGGCCTGTGATAATAATTCATTTAAAAATTCAAGTTTTAAAAGGAGGGAGGATACCAACCACCCTGTTTTTTTTTTTTTGAGGCTTTGCTTTAGTTTGAGGCGTATTTTGGGTTGCATGATTGCGGGATACGATATTACCATGTTTTGATTTGAGCAAATTGCTTCATATCAGTCAAGGTCGCAATGTGCTGCAACTATGTTATCAAGATTTAAGTATTTAATTTCCACTGGCAGAACAATCAGAACATTACCTACTGAAAATGGATGTTGCTGGTATGTATTGATAAATTAATAATGAATTAATTTCCTTATTTCTGAATTATCAAGGTATGAGGGTGAATTATAACGAAAGGACCAATTTGTTCCTTGAAGAGAATTTGGAAATAAAAGAACCCTTTTATCTATTTGATAAATGGTTTAAGATTGTTAAGAACGATCCAAGGACTGTTGAAGCAAATGCTATGTGCCTAGCAACTGCTACAAAGTAAGGACTGTGGTAATTTTCAATTAATTTAATTTCAATTATAAAAATGACATATTTCAACATAGCTTATTTGCTAATTTGTTTCTCAATTATTTAGAACTGGATTACCCTCAGCTCGGTTTGTTCTTCTGAAAGGTTACAGCAAAGAAGGCTTTACATTCTTTACACACTACACCAGCAGAAAAGGGAAGGAATTGGTAATATTTTTTTAAATTACTTTCCATCGTGGATAGATTTATGTACTATTTTAGGAGGAAAATCCAAATGCAGCACTTACTTTCTATTGGGAGCATTATAGTAGATCCGTAAGATTTTTTAATTGCATTTAAACAAATTTGTCTCTTCTCTATTTTGAGACATTATGAATTAACAATTATTCTAGGTTAGAATTGAAGGGACTGTAGAAAAATTACCATTTTCCGATGCAGATAACTATTTCAGTAAACGTCCTTATCAAAGCCAGATAGGGGCACTGTGCAGCCGTCAAAGTGAGCCGATAAGTGGCAGGGAAGTTCTGTCATGCAACGAGAGAGAACTTAAGAGTAAATACAAGGAAGAAGTACCTAGACCATCACTATGGTAAAAATCAGATATACAAATATTTCCGAGTTTTTTTTTCTTTTTTTTTCTAGGGGAGGCTATATGGTAAAGCCTCACACGATAGAATTCTGGCAGGGCCAAACCGACAGGATACATGACAGGATAAGATTTCGCAGACCAAAAGAAAACGAACCTGACGGTATTTTAACGCATGAAGCTGAAGAGGGATGGGTATACGAGAGGCTATGTCCATGAGCGTGTTAAGAAGCATTATAGTGAAATTTTATATATTTTATTTAGCTAAAATTATATAAGGGGTATTATGGGTCATTGAATTGTATTTTCAGTATTTCTCTTTTCACACCTTCTGCACACTTCCAGATGCACGAGTATTTAAATATTTTGTTGTTCTCTATGTACTCCTCGAAAAGTGATGTACCACCTCCGACACCAAAATAAAATGATTTTGCTGCTAAAAATCTGTGAATAGTTAAGGAAAAATGTGAAATAATTGCCAATGTTTATGTCTTCCAATAAAAAGAATACATTGTACCGCTTTTCTTCAATAATTTCTCAAATACTGTATGCAATTTGTAATAATTTTCCGTGTTATAAATTGTTTCTGACGTAAAAATGTAATCAAATTTATTGTCTCCCTTTGTACAGCCCTCAAGGAGATTTGAAAAAGATAACCAATCACCAGAATAAAACTTACATTTGGTTATACAGTCTCTTGAGTTTAATAAAACATTAGAAGCCGTAATATACTCTATTACATCTGAATTCTACAACAAAACCAAAAATATTGCTATAAATGGAGCCTTACTTTTCTTACATAGTCCTGGAAGTAACAAGAAGAACCTTTTAATATTGTATAAATTCCTATTACACCAGCTCCACATCCCAGATCTAACACTTTTTTGTTTTCGAAAGTTATTTTATTGTCATACACGTAATTCAAGAGATCATATGTGCATTCCCAAATTTTAAATCCACCTGAAGATTATATTAAGTGAATAATTTCCTTAATATGCAATACATGTATATCACCTTCATAAATAGCGGGCAACAGATCGGAATGATTTTGTTCGGCTTTTAAAACTGAAACTTTATCCGAGTGTTCCATATTTCTCAAAATTTCAAGAACGTTGTTAGAAGAAACGTACTTTATATGCACATCACCTAAGGTTATTATATTAAATTCAGCATTGGCCACAACGTCCTCAAGTATTTTGTTTTCACTAGGTACCAGTTCCATGCAATCATCCCATTTTTTTTCGCATCTATCCTCTGCATCTAGTTCAAATGTTTGTTACAGGTTACAAAAATTCAAAAATAAGGCCAAGTTTCTTTTACCGTCACTAGTGCCCTCACAGGCATCGGAAGAAAAACCAAATTTAAACATATACAAATCAACCTATAAGTACCAAACAAAACTGATGCCGATAATTCTTTATCTAAGTATTTTCGGCAAAAATGCTGTTTGATCAGAATTTATTAAATTTTTAGTTTCAACACATTCGAAGATATTTAATGATAGCGAACATTCAAGGTTATCTTCTTCTTCTTCTTTTTTTGGCCTTCACCCAGAGGGTATTTAGCCAGCTTCTTATGTAATTGTTTTTTATTATTCAAGGGAATGCACCGTGAAGTGCATCTGAGATTGGTTACTCATATTCCCTCGATTGATTCCTATATCTCGAGCGGGAGTGCAAATGGGGTTAGTAAACAACACAACACAGGATAGACTTTTCACGCTCGGGGGCAACAGCCGAGCAACATTCAAGGTTATGTTAGTATAGTAATTAAATTTCTTCTTCTTCTTCTTCTCTTACGCGTATATCGTTGTTTTTGTGTATACATACGAGCAACCAATTATACATCACACAATGATCTTTACTTGCAGATTATTTTATCAAATATTTTCAAAAGTATGTTGCGTATTTATTTAATAATCAAAACCACACAACTATGATATTTGTTTTTCAGTCTTAACGAAACAAATTAATGAGTTTTATCCCGTATAAAACTTTGAATGTTATTGTATTCACATACCAGTTAACTTTTACCCAATACAGAAATAAATTGCTCACAAGGCATGAATTATTCAGATATTTTACACTTCCTCGAATACTACTAAAAATAACCCTAACCCTATCTACTTTCAGTATTTTTTATTTCATATAGTACGTGACGTAAGTATGCAGATTTGTATAAATATTTGGATGTAGGTAATAAAATTTTGAATATGTCCTGACTGGAATAATTTTAATATACTTGCTTGTCACATAAGGATTTTTTTAGATGAGTCAAGAATTATTTTTTCTTATAAATTCCTTTTAGGTTATTCCCCATGGTGTGAATATTTTGAATACAATAAATCTGTCAAACTTACATTCTTATCGATCTAATTTAGCATAAACGTTTTGATAAGCAAAAAAAAAATGAATTTTGCATACCTAAATTCATTGTAATTTGTAATGCCAATTGTTTTTAACTATCAACAGTATCAACTACCTATTATTTAATTATAAACATCCTCGTTTGTAAACAATTCTAAATTATAACTTTTGTGATTCAAATTAGCATGATATTCATTAGTATTGACATTGTTCTAAAAAATTATATGCCTACCTAGTTTAATTAATCTTGAACTTCTACTATATTTCACGGTGAATCCTAGGAATTACCAAGCTATTAAATTTGATTTGAATTTAAATTTAAAATTAAACAATACCGAGAGAGATCCTGTTCTCGCTGTGATGGTGGTATATTGCTTAACGGTGTTACACTTTCAAATATATACACGGTTTTTACAGAATCATTTAGGGGGATTTACAAAATCAGTGCTAGCATTGTCAAAGTCCTGCAAACGTTCTGGGAAGACATCTGCAAGTGCAAAAAGACCTCGCTGAAATGATTTTGTGCAAGCAATCGGCAAAACCCGACCGCAGAATTGTTGAGAAGATCAGTAATGTTTGATATTTTTATAACCGCAACTATTTTGTTTCGGAAATTAGATTTTTCAGATCACCACAACATACATATCTGCTCTAAGGTAGAGCACGACGTCATTCTTCTTGTAAACGGACGCGCGCAATGCTGATAGGTGCAGTGGCGTAACATAATAAAAAAAAATAGAGTTAATTATAGCATCCCTACAAAATAATTGCAGTTGTAGTAGTTGCAAGTTTTACATCAAATTCGAAAACTTACAAAATCCACAATGTAAAGATTCAAACAAATAGTAAATAGAGTAAATTCTTAAATGGCTCTTCTGAAAAATGGCATTTTTTGAGATATAATAGTCTTCTTTCAAACCGACGACATGGTGTTATTGACGTCACTAATCACTTTGGGATTCAGGTTAATAGGAACTCTGAATTGCTTAATTCATTAGATGACCCTGCGGGAGAGGTTACCGCCAATAATGGAAGACATGAATGTCAGGGGTGGTTTGCGATTGCGGCACATGGACGATGGTGCGCCTCCTCATTTCTAAATACTGGTTCATGAAAGTTACGAATAAAGGTGGATTGGACTCGATGGACTGGTTCAATGGTCACCTAGATAACCAGATTATCTATGCTGGATTTGTTTATTTAAAATTTGACACGTTTTAAGGAGACGTAAGGGCTGCATTGATATGCAAGGAAGAACGTTTGGAGAAAAAAAGTGAGACCTCCCAATTTCATTTATCATTCACTATGAAATGATCTCATAAGACCTTGTTTCCATCTGAATAAGTACAATATTCCGAAAATTTGTGTTGTGCATATTGTCAAGAATTGTTTCTAAATCACATTTCGCATTTCTTCTCAAAAAACGGTGCGTTCTATCGCAAAAAGTATATTTTTACTACATTCCCCTGTACTTTTATAGAATGTTACTGTTTCTGCGAAAATTCAATCAGTGGTGTAAAAGTACTGCCCAAAAAAAAGATCACTAAGTAATTCCTGAATCTCCTTTTCTGAGTTATCTCATTTAGCATCGACATATTCAAATTATGCAGACTTATTAGTAATACCCTGTACCAAATTTGAATTGATTTGGGATTTGGTCAACCCTTTTAGAAGATATAAACAAAAACCATTTTTTTTATGAAAACTTTAACCTCTGTCTCGAAGACAAAGCGTTTCCGGACATTATGTTCTTGTTTGTTAAAGCTGTATAACATTTTATATAGAACTAACTTCTCGTAGGAAAACCACCCTTAAACGAATTCCTTTAAACTTATTTTATAGCTTGAAGCCGACGTACCTACGCCGCTGCAGTTCTGAACCCTCACCTCAAAACGTTACAAAATCCATGTCGTTGAACTAGCCGGATCTCTTTTTATCTCTGTCTCCGCCGTACGAGAACCGAATACTGCAAGTCATTTTTTTCTTTATTGGAACGTTGATCGATTGCAATATATCGACGGATAGGCGGATGCAGATCCAGTCTTAATCAGATCGAATCCAGACCGTTTTATTGACGTACCTGCCGGTAATACCCACAAATTTTTTTTCGTTGCCAATTCGATACCCGGAATTTGTCGCACTAGTTACTATTGAACAAGGCCACGGAAGGAATTTCATTCATATTTTGGTCATAATTCCTATTTTTTTTTTCTCATTCCGATAATTTGTGTACAAGATATTGTAAGCCTACCATTCATAAATGTCACTCTTTAAACCTTATGTCAATCTAATTGTTGGAAAGCAATCTAACTGTGCAAAAATATTAGTACAGGGTGTTGAGTAAGTACCTACTAACCTCTTGGAAGCTTATAAGAGAGGCCCAAATAGCACTGGAGTGTTCTATATTGTAGCTTCCTGAGATTCCTCCTACCAGAGATATCAAGCCCCACTTTGAAACTTGAAACCACCTTGTACGTTTTCAAAAAAAAATTGATACAGTGTATTACAGATAAGACTCCATGATGAACTGATATTGAAACCGATCTTTTAGTGTCACAAAGAAATCCAGATACGAACGGATCGCAACACATTTTTTAAAAGGTTTTGAGAGATGTTATGCCATCAAATTGAAAATATTGTTTCTAGGTACTCTGAAAAAGATTCTTAAAACAAAAGGTCTCTTCTTTTGTTTCGATGAAAAACGGTTTTCGAGATAAATCGGTTTTTGGAACAGATTTTTTTTATAAATTGTTTGATGTATTTGGTTTAACCTTTTAACAAATACTTTTGGGTCATATGTTACTCATAGTTCAAGAGAAATAAGTTAAAGATTATAAATAAATAATAAAAAATGAGAAAAGTTAAATGACTTCCACAAATGTAAAAAATTAACTCTCCGTAGATATACTTTTTTATTCCACGAATATTTCTAGGATTGTAATTAATCTGATTGCAATTCTGCGTTATTTTCTTTTGTAGAATTTACAGACGTTGAATAATTAAGTTCATTTGGATGACCCCACAGAAAAAAGTCTAACAGATTTGGGTCGGGTAACATCAGTATGTTTTTCAAATATCAAATTTCTATAAAAAATCTCCTGTGTATGCGTATTAATTACAGTGAAATAAAATCACAATGTACGTTGTTCAAACAAAGAATTCCTATGATTTACCTTTTATGATTTATCAATTTTCACAAGAATTATTATTATATGGGTATCTAAATAAATAGTTAATAATAGTAAATCAATATTTAATATTAATTTTAAATTTGTACACAGTCGTAAATTCATTTGCATTGTTTGTACCAGCCATTTTCACTCAAAAAATGGCGCAACTTCCTAAACAAACAACCACTGTCTTCCGGTTATTTTTTTGCTGCTAAGAACAGAATCTCGAGATTCATTAATATCTTCGCGTAATCGTGAGAAGTATATACAAACAATGCAGAGTATAGTTAATAGCTTCGGTTTTCCCAAACATGCCGAGCTTTCTGTTTGACTTTTTTAAGGCGGTAAAAGTTTCAAAGTGGGTTCGTGGGATTCACGTTGTTGCTCGGTCCTTACGTCATTTCCATCCTTAAAAAAGTTTCACGAACATGATAAATCAGCGGTAGACAGTACTTATAATAGTTTTGTGTAATTACTTGCGATATACATCTTGAATTATTGCAGCATTCAATTAAGAATAACGTTTTAAATAGAATTTTCCAAAGCAGAGGTGCTAGGATGGCTACCTAGATCTCCTGATTTAACGTCGCTCCATTTTTTTTCCTTGAGATATTGCTTATAGTAATCAATATGGCAGTATATCAGCTTTAACATATTAAATAAATCTATAGGTGTTCTGATGAGAGTAGAGATAAACTCAAGAAGACTTTAAAATACATATATGTAACATTGAAAACTCATCCAGTAACATTGGATTTATGTTTTAGAAAAACTGAAGATTTATAGCATAACCCCAATGAAATTAATATTAACATTACATAATCTTAAAATTCCTAGACTTTCCTGTCGTTTCGGATGTTTCAAGTTAAATTTAAGATTGCATTGCGGTTTAAAGGTTGAAAATTTAATTCCTATTTCCTTTCCAAACAGAGGAAACTATATAACTGAATATTTAGGTTCCAGAAACTTTACGCAATTCATGAAATATATATCAATTCGACATCCTAATCGGTATTTTTTAAATTTATTACATTTCACTGAGAAATTGACAGTTTTGCTGCATAAATAA